GCTTTGTCACTGATGAAAGAAAAAAAATTCCCAGAATTGCTACCGCTCCTGTTTCTCACAATATAGGGTACGGCTCAGTCTCTCAGGAGGCTAGAATCAAAAAATATTCACAGCCAACCAATACAGCTTCCAAAAAAACTTAAATTTTCTGTAACATTCTGACAAAAATCCTAATATCAAAAATTGCTTTCAGGCTAAAACTTCACCCGGTAGCTGTGGTAGAAATGTCACTGAATTGTCCCATTTCACCCATGTTTCAGTCCAAGGTACACAGGCTAAATTTCTTCCTGCTATTTCTTCACTCTGTTCAAGCAAGCAGCAGAGGGCACAGTTCACTGCTGAAAACCTCCAGGGCAGGAGGCTGCGTGACTATGCCTCATCCTGGCTAAAACTAAGGTTTCCATCTGACCATCACAAGTGAAGTCTTGATTAAAATATCCACAGTCACTAGTGCAGCAGTACCTCTGAAAGACGGTGTTTATCTTTCCTTATTTATCCCACAGTCAGTTATGTACAAACCCATGGGATTTACTTACGTCTGATTGAACTTGCAGAGTACAAGTATTGCCACAGGTCACTGCAGTAATTATTTACATTTTCTTTATACTGAACTCCAAAAATTGAATACATTTGAAATGAAAACTACTGGTGACTTTACAAACAGCTGCTCCGCACACACAGCGCAGTTTGTTCACAAGCAGTAGCAGTAGCACAAGGCAAAGCTCTATTACAGCTGATCGGCCGCCCCTACTGAAAGGTCCGAATCCCGGACGTTAATCATGCAGATAACCACTGTCAGCAGTCTCACGGCACAGAAGTGTGATTTTCCACTTCTGGCCCCAAATCTTGGGGTCTATAAATTCTTTTCAAAAAGAAAAGCAACTAAAAGCAAGCCTGCTTTCTGTAGGCTTAGATGTTCTGTTTCTTTGCTGGGAAATGTTTAAGGGTCTGCAAAACAAAGGGTTGAAAACCCCTAGCACAGGACAGGTAAAATTTGTCGTCGTTTGTTGCAGATACAAGCCAGATTCATTTTGTTGCAGCTGTATATACTTGTTTCATATTAAGGGACAGCATTAAAAAGGAAAAAAAATCACAGAACTACTCCATTATTGCTAATGCAGATTGTTTAATGTTGCATCAGTATAAGCGTAAATGGATAAAACGTGTATTTATTACCATGCCATGTCTACCACATGGGGCTGTTTTTCGTTTTGGGTTTTTTTTTCCCTTCTGGTCTGTTTTAGCCTTGCAATATATTAGGTCGAATTCAATAAATTCTGTGACTATGAGGTGCATAATGACATTTGAAATGTTTTCTTGCTCTTTGCTAGAAATATGGACTAGATAGGCTGATTGAACTCCTAGAAACAAAAAAGATTGGATATCTCATTATTTGGGGATAACATTTTTTCCTGGTTTCAGATTTTGGCTGTTCTCATAACTAGGACAGGCAGTTGTAGGACTGACAGTATCATATTTTATAGGTCTGTCTGCAAATAAAAATAAAGAGATATATTATCTTTCTTCACTTCTAATTAAATGCTCTGTTAGGGTCAAGAACCTAAGGCTGTAGCTGGTACCAGGTAAAATTCCCCTCTTAAGGTGACACTTTTCCACCCATGAAGGGAGGCTGGATTTGATCCTGAATGCGCTAACTGGTCACACATAAACAAATGGGGCTGCTTCGCTCCCGTTAGCAGACCCCAGGCAGGAAGCCTGTACAAGGTAATACAACACAATAGCTCTTAGACAACCATACGTGACCTACCATTTCCCTCCTTAAATTTACTCTGTATCTTATTTTTATTTTTAAGGAGATCCCTATCTCTTCATCCCTATGTCTGAGCCCCTATTCTGATAGGTGTTCAGGAGCCTGGACTATCACTAAATTTAAGCCTGAAGTGTCAGTGAAAGTTGAGACTACCTAATCTTGTGCACAGGGCCTGATCTTTCTCAGATCCAGCAGTGCCTCATGGCTTGGGAACCTTGGGTTAACTCCAAAATTTCTGCGCCTTATGGCATTCCTACTACAAGTGTATCTACAGTATCAGTAAGGGAAGATTCTCTAATACCTCCTATTTAATTTAATCTAATAACAATGATATCTGGATACTCTGTAAGTATGAACTAAAAATGCGCGCTATTGAAGCTAGTGAAGAATTTTTGAAACTTTTATTATTTCATGGGATTTTTTTTCCAAAAAAGTCACTATCAAGACATGTAATGTTTGTCACTTCAAAAATGTAAAGTTTCCTTTGCATGTTCTTTCAATTTAATGTTTTTCAGAATTGTTTCCTGCTTTTCTGGCCAATGTCCTTAGAATAAGTCTGGTTTGTATTCATTCCTATAGTAACATTCGTATTTAATTTCATAGGCCCAAAAGAGGTCTATCGGTGTCTACTCTGCATAAAGTTAAACACGTTCATAGTGTTTTGCAGAATTAGAGCTTTAGACATAAAAACTTTGTCCACATTGGTCTGGAAAGCCAGGGACCCACTTCTATTTATACCGTGAAGATTTTGCCAAGGATATCACATTTCTTTAATCCTAGTTTCCTGGAAAGGTGCTAACACTTTCCCTGCAGAGTGTGGATAGCCTAAAATGTGGAGGCAGTAATCAGTGGCTGATGGAATATAGACTTGTTTTTTAAGAAGCTTATTATCATCCAAGATCATCAAACTTTTTAGTCCCTGTGCTTCCGGGACATTTTTTGTGGTTGCTGTCTTAGCAATTTATTTTCCTGGTTCTAATGCATTAGTATAATGTGACAAAGTCTGGACCACAAGTAACGCACAAAAACCACAAAAGTAATTATAAAATGCTCTAAATTATATTAATTTATGTTTATGGACATTTTACTGCAATCACTATTGCACTTTGTAAAAGCTTTTTATTTCAGAATAACACTGAATGGGCTTTGAATTCAGAATTCTTTCCTCCCACCATTAAGTTTTTGTAAAAAGCCTTTAATGGTTTTTGTCAGGTAGAAGAGAGAACTAACAGAAGCTGCCCAAAATGCAAGTGCTGTGCAGCAAGCAGTAACGAGATGTCAGCTACCCTTCCTAAGGTGCCTCAGTTTAGGTCCTGTGACTTTGTTTAAAGACGAACACAATTTCTTCCTCACCTGCATGAGGGCTGATCCGCACTGTGACTTCAGGAATTAACAAGTCGTAAGAGTCTATTCACAGAAATATTTCCTTTGCGTTCTGGTTCAAGAGGGCTTAAAAAGCCCTCCTTTATAACATTAACCTTTTTATCTGCCTTCACACAGCAAAAAATAGATTGTTCTTGACAGTTTTTAATTTGAAATTGTAAGAACCAGCAGCTTAGACTTGAATTGAGCAATACTAATAATGAATTAAGTTAGCAACACTGATAGAATCATAGTTAAAAACTGAAGCGGGTATAAAAAGGTGCAAAGGGAAGAATTATAAGCTAGCTGTGTTGGGTTTCAAGAAGCAAACCAGTTGTCCTGTCAGTCACACATGGTCTGCAGCGTTTGGATTGGAGAGCTAGAATTACTTTAGAGATTGTCTGATGAGACACTAAAAAGGTCATAACTGTGAAATCTGGCTCCTATTCCAAGCGATCATTTTACTGAATCTGTGCCAGGCTCACCTCGCACATATTTTTCATAGTCAGAAAATTGTCATTGATTATCTGATCAAGCAAAAGATACTATGGCATTTTTTCCACATTAAATCCCCATTAAATTCCCATTCCCAATCTGTCTAATAGGACAAGATTTATATTTCCCTTAGCTATGATACCTAATACTTCATTTCTTTCTTTGTTAGAAAATTCAGAATGATCTCTCATCAGTCTTTCTTTGTCATTGCATTTCTTAATATTATATTGTCCCCATATCATGCTGGAACGCATCATCTGTTTAACTCAAACCATAAACACAATTTAAGATCTCTTTGGATGCATCCTATCTAACAGGTCGCTTATGTTTTTCCATGGTCTAGCAAGTTGTTCTTAACCATTGACAGAAGGTTTTTGACGTTATCTACATAACTAACTCTCATTGACCACCACTGCCTACCGATTACTTAGACAAGGAATTGAGGGGTCTCTGGCTCTTCTTACTAGCTGCACTAAGGATGTTTCCTGCATTTGGTGCTATGGCTTTAGCACAAATGAATCGTACATTATTCTGAAGGACTATTAACAGTTGACATGAGAGCGGGTCAAAAGTCAGGATTTCCATTCTGCAAGAAATGCATTCTGTTTCAAAACAGTTCTGTAAAGAATTTACAAATTTTACTGATGGCTGCCCCCAACAAAATTTGCTGAAAAGAGTTCGGATTCTCAAAACAAAAAGCCAGTGAGCCTTGAACACCTGCACCCCAACTTAGCAGGCTCAGTCGTCCCTGACTGCCTTGCAGCTCCAGGAGACAGGCAGGAAGCCAGGACGCTTTCATGCCACTAATAACACAGCTTTGAGACTCAGAACCCAAACCTCCTCCTTCACCAGGAGAAAGGCTGCAAGTCCTGAATCTCTTTTGACACCAAAGAGGATGTGAGCGGCAGTAATTTTTCAGGGCTATCCTAGACCATAGCAGCCAAGACTGCAGCAGTTCCCCACCCCTTGCTGGAAACGCTGGGGTGCCGTAGGCCTTGACGTGACCCAGCTACTGAGCTCTTCAGGCTCCCTGCTGGGGAACTGGAAGCTAAATCCTGGCCAAAACCAGCATACCTAGCGTTTTCAGATGCTCTACCAATTTTGGTAGTGTCATTTCTCACACAGTTCATAGAGCAAGGTTGCCCAAGGGCAGTTAATCATGCATCCTCCATACCAAGCAGAAATTTCATCATGTAGCAAAACACTGAGAATCATCTCGGTAGTCTGACTAGAAAACCGGCGAGGGACTAATCAGGTGAAGCTGTCGCTTTTTCAGTTGTCATGGTAATTTTCCTCTGAATGCTTACATTCTGGTAACTCATAATTTCTGAATAAAAAATTGACAGAAAACCGCTATCCACCTACAACCGAGATGTACCTAAAAGCTATTATATTTCGAGGTACCAGTGCCACAAGTTCTACAGGTTATAACATTACTTGCACAATAGTATCTGAAATTGCTGTCGTCAGCTGCAGACATCTGCAAAAACAGATATCAGTAGTTTCCTCTTACCAAGAACAGTCCGTAAGAAAAACAGGAAAATGTCAACAGGTTCCATTTTTGCAACTCAGGATGACAAGGCAATGCTCACGTAGTCTATGATACACTTTATTTTTTATAGAAATAATTACTCAATATGCTCAATTCAAATGGTTACAAATATAGATAATAGTACAACTATGTAACTGTGCAGCAGGACTTGTAAACCATATGGTCCTAAAAAGACAATCCTGCTTTTAAGCACTTATGAGACAGAGTTTAAGCCAAGTAAAATCCCAAATGTATTAGTAGAGCTTCACTTTACAACAAAGAGGGTCAGGATATGATATCTTATTACTGGAGAGAGAGGTGATTGTGTGTAAATCTTCTCAAAGTACACGATAGGCCCTGCTTCAGGAGAGAACTTCAAGTGCTGTACCTCAGTTAGGAGCTTCAGTAGGTATCAATCCCAAAGAAGATGACCTTGCAGATTCCTATCACTACAGAAGTGGTTTGACATAATTCCCAAAACATCCAAAGCTGGTAGGACCTCCTAGGTTCTGGACCTCCTCTTGTATTAATGAGAGCTGAGCATCCACTGATCTCCGTTTCGGTTGCACTCTTACACCAGAATTACCCTTTGGCCTGTGAACATTTAGTGTAGAAATCATTGGCCAATATTTGAACAGTTAGAATGACGGATATTTTAATTTGGCATCTAATGCTTGTCATATCTATTTTAATGAATCTGAAAGTAAACAAACCACAAGCCACTCTGTTTCCTTATTACAGTCCTTTCTCTTATCACAATTTCTTATGTTATTCTGAAATCATATGAAATCAATAAAAGTTGGTTAGAAAGTGTTACTGTCTTTACTGTTGAAGAAAGCCTATAAAAGCCCAGGCTTAAGCCAGAAATTCAGAAGAAAATCAAAGCACAGATCTTGTCTTTACAACAGCTTTTATCAGCACCGGTACCTTCTTTTTAAAGAAGACAATATCTTGCAAGCAGAAAAAATAAATGGCAAATTTGAACTGGAGTTATCAAGGCAACAGTGGTAAAAACTATCTTTCATAGCAAATCAAATTTATTTAAAGTATATGGAATACTTCTTTCCTTTTCCTTATAAAAACTCTTTAGAATGATGTTGGGTATTAACCTATCAAATATATCTGTCATGAATACACCAAGTTTCAAGGGAAAGTGTCAAAAATTCAGCATTGATATAGAATTTAAAGTAGAAAGCTGCTTTTTTTTTTTCCTTTGGCCAGGACCTGACCACTGGCACAAGTTATACCCTATTGGCAATGGAGCCCATCAATCTCCTATAGAAATTAAAACCAAGGAAGTCAAAAAAGATGTCTCTCTAGGGCATCTCCAGATCACCTGGAAGCCTTTCACAGGCAAAGAGATTGTCAACGTTGGACGTTCTTTCCATGCGAATTTGAGGATAAGGACAATCAGTCAGGTTAGTAAAAAGGAGATCTGGAAAGGAGGAACTGGAAACATTTTCTCATTCTCTTTTTCTTTAATTTGTACTGAAAACAAGACTAGTGGCTTTTCAGGAGTATTTATACAGCTCAGGGTACGCTTTCTGATTTTGTTAAGTTACACCAGCTGCCAGTACCCCTTAAGTGTCACAGAAGATCCAATTTATGCCCTTTAAATCTATAATGTTTTGGCAAGTGTTCCTGTGTTAACATCAAATGGATTGATGATTTCCTGGTAGAAAACCTCCAGGATAATCACTGATTTTAGGGATTGGACAGTAGGAGGAGAGTTTCTAAACACAGTAGGGTTTGTTTGTTCATTTAACCAACATGGCCTGGGAGATTTATACATACATAAAAGTTACTGACAGGTATAACTCCATTTGGAATCACTCTGGACTAGGTTTTATTCCTCAGGGAGTCTTATTACTTTGATAGCAAAGAAAGGGATTTACTTGTGCTATTGTGCAAATACTATTGTAAATACTGCCCTACGAGAGCTCCAGATATGTATTTCTAAGTATCATGCATAAACAAATACAGGTCCATATTGCCACGGTGGGAATGAATACGCATTTAATCACACATGCGCTTTTAATCAGAGGAGCAGTGATAATGACCTAAAAATTACATCCAGGTATACCTGTAACATTTCATAAGTTAAATTCAGAAACAGTCACGTACCCATAACTATTACCTCTGCGTAGAAAGGGAGTATTAAATACCGTCACAAATGAGACAAATTTTAATGGGACGTGAACTCCATGAGGTAGGACTTTTCATCTGCAATTATTAAAATCTAATTACTCTTCCTAGAAAACTGCTGGTTTTCTGCTTTTGTTTTCACTCTAGAATAGCTGGCCTAGTCACATATATTTGATCTGAATTTTGGAACTGCATCTGGGAAACATGCAGATTTACTATATCAAAGCACTCTTATACACATATTTAGAAATGAGACCTTCAATAACTTTGGCTTAACTGCACACACTTTTTTCTTCTACTTATGACTAAAAACAGTCTACTAGATAAATATGTTAACTTCCATTTTCAAGAAAAGTGCTTGCGTGAAATACTTGAAATCTATGAACTCTGGTAGTCAGGAAGACTTTAACGACTAATGATTTTAACTTGTTTCTTGATGTGCTTGCAGCGCTGACCAGGGGACCTCTCACTGGCAATTACACACTGTGCCAGTTTCACTTCTTTTGAGGCCAAACCGGTGAACAAGGCTTTGAGCACGCAGTGGATGGGGGGAAAGACACCTCAGAGGTAGAGTCAATAAAAGAGATATCAAAGTCACTTTTTCAAAACCCATCTCCAGAAGAAAGAAAATCGCATATGTAAACTGCTCTGATAATTATTTCATTTTGCAAAACACCACCATCTCTGCACGGGCATAGCTGACTTCATGAAAGCACGTTAGGATCTATGGTCAGTACTTAATAAGATAGATTTAGATAAACTAAACCCATATTTAAATAATGAACTAGGGCTGAAGGGTGCACGTACACAACTGAATAGCACCTGCTAGCTTCCCAGTGGTAAAAAGTTCACATATGCAGGCACACTCAGCTTTAGAGTCAATTAGCTGCTTTTCAAAGAGTTTGATCACTCAGTTCCCTACCCTCATTGTAGCTGGAGATGCACAACTCCTCACAGGTGCGAGCGTGCTCATTACTGTAAGGTGGTGTTCTTTGGCTTTTTAATAAGAACGGCAAATAAGAAGGAAAAGCAGAAAAAAATAATGAAGAGAAAGAAGTAGAAAAAGTTAGTTAACAAGGGTCCCAGCTGCTGTCACGTACATTAACCCTCTTCAGATAATGAAGCAAGGTCCATCTGATAGGAAATAAACATGTGTAAACCAACTTCTTGTTATGTTTCCCAGGGGCTTAGCGTCATGCTATTAGTTAACAATATACCAAAAAACAATCCATGTTCAATCCATGTAATGTTATCTTTGGCAGCTCTTTAGATTTCAAGAGTATTACCACATGAAAATCTAATGAGACAGATTAGAGTACTCATTTTTAGTTCAGGCATTAGGAACACACAGCCAAAAGTGTGTTCGTAATAGGAAATTTTCCACTGTTGAGAGTGCTAGAGCTATCTCATTTGATACAGCCAAGATATGAAAGGGGTGTCCCTGCAGAATTGCTTCCTGCCATAAAGAGATAGTCCACTTACGCTGTGTTTAAGCAGCACACGGTTAAAAGCATTTATTAGTTTGCTTTGAATCAGTGGTTTAAAATACTTTAAAACACTATTGAAAAGATAGCAATTCAGCTTTAAAATGTACCTGGGGACTCACAAAGATGAAACCACAGTTTTAAAAATATTTGCATTATATGATGAATTCCATATTTTGTCTCTAATTTTTTTGTTAAGAGATTGCTAAGTATGCTCCAGTGTTCATGGATGAGAAGGCATTTAAAGAAACTATTACGATTTCCACGGTCTGTCAGTTTTGGAAATGTATATTTCACACCTGGAAAAATAACTCAAGGTATAATAACAGGCTGAACAAAATTTTCTTGAAATGCTTTTAAAGGAAATACTGTCAAAACTGCAAAGTTGCTGGAAGATCTGTATTGAATATATAGCACCCACAGCTATGAGGTTCATGGCCGTACCAGCAGTCTATTGCAGTAAACGGAACTACTGTGAATAAGTAGAGCACTCTGTGTGGCAAAGGGGTAACATTTCTTGAAATGCTATTTAATCTATTACATTTGTAAAGACATGGAAGCAAAGGCATGCACAGGAGACTGTTAAAGGTAGAGTTAGAAAAATCTATGCCCCTTGTAAGTTGTGATTTTCCACATCTCTGTGTACTTACCCCTAAATTGCTTTCAGGAATGCATGCAGTTCTGCCTACTGCGAGATAAAGCCTGGGTATCGGAACTGACACTGCCAGAACAATGCGGCAGAACACCGGAAACCAACAGGCGAAGTTCACAAGCACACTCACACCTTCAGGGTCAGACCCTAAGAGCACAGACTGCAGTTTCTAGCATATTTTACTTTAATTACAGCATCTCCTTGCAATAGAACAGCAGAGTTTATCCTGTCGATTGCTTTTTAGCTTCATTTCCTTCGCTGGAACTCGGACAAGTATGCAAGCAGGGCAGAGGCTTTCGACAAGCCGGATACTTTGGCAATTGTCACTGTTTTCCTGAAGGTCAGTTAATGACATCCTGAAAACACACGTGTCTCTCTTCCCTGTCTTTATCAAAGCTGCACTCAGCACTGAGGATTAGAAAAAACACATCTTTGTGTTAAATTGGTGGAGATGACTATCTCTTATCCTAATTTAGCCCATATTGCCAACTTCACCCACGCTTCCACACAGGTATTTTGCCCAAACCCCGATTTCACTCATACAGCCTTCAAGCAGATCTATGCTTTAATGGTCTGGTTGCTAGTGAGCTTTGTGCTGTTTCATCCACCTTTGCGACAGTCAGTGCTCACTCCTTTTGTGTCTGCTTTTCACTCCGTTTACAATGTGAACTGTCACAGAAAGACAGTTTCAGTCACCTACGCAATTACTACCAGAAAAGAAATTTTTAAATCATAATTCCAAGAAGCCTTGGAGCCATGTATGTGACATATTTGGCCTTTCAAAACCAATTGAGGCAGCAAAAATAATTCCTTATTATTATATAAGGAAATGTGATACCGTAATATTACATTATAATATAGTGCTAAAATATAATTGGTCATAATGCACATTGCAAAAAAAGATACCAGCAAAGCCATCTCACTGAATGCTTCCAAGGAAAAGTAGGTTTCAAGGATAAACACCACAGCTGTAGAACAAAGCAATCATATACTTCTTAACTGCAGATTACTATTCCCACTACCATAGTTGCATTAGGCTACCAAACAGAAAATATTACTTTCAGCAAAACATCTTGTTATTTCCTCAAAATTCTAAATATTATTTCCTTCATAGAAGGTTTTCAAAACTAATCTAATTAGTGTTTGTAAAGCATATTTGTATTCTTGGGTGGAAGATGTTCTTTTAGAATAAAACGGTTGTTACAAGCTTAGGATTTTTAAAATATTTTTACATTTACAGCTTGGTTCAGGCAATGAAAACCTGAAGGATGTTTTGAAGGCCTTGGATTCAGTAAAGACTAAGGTAAACATCAGCACAGCCTGGTCATGATGAAATACAGAATAGTTAAATTAAAACCTACTCGGTCTGTCATCCTCCTTTTTGAAGGCTTCAGAATAATTCGGGGGTTCAGCTGCAGGAGGCTGTTGAGACATGGGGCTGAAAGTGTCTTCCTGAATATGAGTTTATAGGAGCCTGTGAGATATTATGGATTCTTGGGGCTCTACCCTGTAGACGGCTGTAGGCTCTTGGTAAAAGATTAAGAGTTCTTATTTCCTGATTCCTGGCTAATCCCATGCTTCCATCCATCAGTCTGTCTATTTAAAATGATCCCTGGTGTCTATCATCAGCACACCCTAGCAATAACTGAACTGAAGCTCTGCTTGGTGGAGGAGGGAGAGGAGGGAGAGCATATGAGTAACACCAGAACTGCGCCTTTCTTAAGCTCTTGTGTAAACTAAACCCCTGGCTGTTCCCACTAAGCCTCACACATGAGAAGCTGAGACAGCACCTGCATTTTAGTGGGCATGTTAAAAATATAGTACTGCATCTCCCATAGGAGGAATGTGGGCTTTGACCCAGAGCATACAACCACTATAAATATATGTGAACATGTTTATATTGTTATATAAAATTAGCCTCTTCAAGCAAAGTGAAATTAATTATCTACTGAAGTGTTTCACTTGCTCAGGAGCATACTATCTGGCAAAAAGAAACCCCTTTGTCAGTGATGACAAAAATTCTTTGGTATCCGGTAGCTGTTTCGAGCCTTTTTGGTTGGTTGGTTGGTTGGGCTTTTTTTAAGATATGCTGCTCATTTCTATTGGTGCCAGCCTAGATCTCTCCCAGTATCAAACTTGCCACCAGGGCCACAAAATCACCTCTGCTGCCATGAGACAATGCTAGCTTTTTGAAGTGACATCCTCTATGTTTTGATTTAGGAACACACTCCCTTGTAGTCTCAATTTTATGTAAGCCATATCTTATTCATCAATAGGTCTCATTAACTCTTATGTATCTTCCACAGGGTAAGCAAGCTCCATTTTCTAACTTTGATCCTGCCAGCCTACTGCCTAAATCCTTGGATTACTGGACTTACAATGGCTCTCTGACTCACCCTCCCCTCCATGAGAGTGTTATCTGGATTATCCTCAAAGAGCCCATTACTACCAGCTCAGAGCAGGTATAGCATTGCAAAGAACAAAAACCTCTCCTGTCTTTTAGCTTCAGTGACAGTATCATTTTACAGCACATTTTATATTAGCTTTATTTATCTCATTTTCACTATAAAATCAATATTATCTTTAGACCAAGTTATTGCTCTTAATAAATACTTAGGATTCTGCCTTAGCCTGCTTAGGCTACTACCATCTTACAAAGTGCTGTGGGAATTGAGGTAAGAAGACTTCAAATCTGTGGACACGCTTCCATTGTTCAGGTAAAAGCTGTTTGCTTATTTTAATTTCCTTGCAGCGCTGTCGCTCCCAGAGCAGAAGCCAGGCAGAAAGCTGGATTCTTCCTGTCTTCATTCCTGCATGACTCCCCCAAAGAAATTCATATTCCCATCAAATCTCAGCCAAACACCTGCCTGAGCAGGAGGTTTCGTGGCATGCCATAAAAGTCAAAGGGCCAGAGTACGGGTCTCCATTCAGTGCTATTATAAGGTGGTTAGAAACGGTACCGATTGCTCACCATTTCCCAATAATGTCTGTAGGACTAGCTAAAAATCTCTCACTGGCCTTGTCAAGTTAAGTATTCTTCCCTTTCTGATGTAAATTCTTTTATGAAACTCTTCTGTGTTGTTAAATTACTGTCACGTATCATCTAAGGGCGTTTGAATTAATATCTTCCTGGGTAAGGGTAGCTAAGTGCTTTGAATCTTTGAAAACAGAAAGTGCCTATGTAAAAATAAATTGGGTTTTATCAACATCCTTTATATTTGTATAAGGTGTTTTTACTTGGGCTATTTAATGGATATGTGACAGATATTGGGTACAAATAGTTTGACATAAAAAGCAATGTTTATATGCAAACTTGAATTAATTCTAAGGCACTATTTTTTACTTTGGTAATTGGTGATATTTTTAATTTATCGTAACCCAGGGTTTTTTACATAGCTGATAGCACGGTGTACCGGTGAAGGAAAGTTTCTGCAATAGTCAGACACAGAGGTAAACAGAATATTTTAAGATGGTTGTTTGTTCCAGCTCTCATGCGACAGCATAAATGCTGATGCATCACTGGATTGATTCCTTTATGCAGTTAAATGTTTTTAAAAAAGAAAGTTAAATGTTTTTTTTCAGTTGGGCAGTATAACAATCTCTCGCTGACATGCAGTGTAAAAGCTAAGCGTATTCCTCCTTCCCTTCTGCCGTTTAGCTGGCCCACTTCTGTGCCCTCCTGTCTTCTGCTGAAGGGGAAAGACCTTGTCCCATCCTGAGCGATCACCAGCCACGCCAGCCACTGAAGAGCCGAGTGGTGAGAAGCCAATTCCAGCCAGTCCAAGGCAGCACAGTCTGCTCATCAAGACCAACACACCTAAAGAAAGAGCACGTACAAATCTACAAAAGAGTTGAAAAAGAGAATATGTTCTTCGCTGCAATACTCTTATCCTACCACAAGCTGTTGTAGTTCACTGTGGCATTAGGTTAGCGTTTAGACTGAAATTAATCTATGTTCTTTTTATAATAGGAAATCAATCTGTTTTAATGCATGACTTTTAACAGTTGGATATATAAGTTTTTTAATTGATTTTCACATTTCGTCTGACATACTAAGTCAACAGTAGCGATACGAGGCAAAGTAAACGTTCAGAGTGAAATTAATCTGTACTCAGTTTACTATGAGAGGAGTTCACGCCACTCTACAGAATGTCTGTTGAAGTGACAGTCAGTGAAGTCAGTTCTGTTAACGGCAAGTACTAATATGTTATTGTTGATTTTGCTAAGAAAAGTTGAAATCAAACCAATAAAGAAAGCATTCTGAAAAGAAACAATGTTTTAACAGAGATATGTGTCAATTTTTTCAAAGAAATTGTGTAATATTTGCTCTGTTTTATTTCACCTGCATCATATAGTAAAGAACTAGGTATGTGCACTAACATATGTCCAAGCAAAAATAAAATGTACAACCAGAGCCAGGTGCTTTATGTCACACACTTACAATTCCAGATTTCACTATTTTTTTCCAAATAGAGCAGTGCTTAACTTTGCAAATGGCTCCAACAATGAAAACTGAATTATTCAATAACCAACAGTGGCAAAGGTCTGAAGAAGATAAGGTCAGATTTTACAAGGAACAACATCAAGCATTAGAAAAGAAATTAGGTTTTCAGGAGACCCCATTATGTAACTTTAACGGTGTTTAACTAAAATGATGAAGTACCTTCGTTAAATTACATTGGTAATTATTATCTGTTGGCCTATTACAGCATATGTTGCTACACAGTTTCTTTTTAATGTTTAGATGCCTTTCACTATACAGCAAAAGTGAAGCTGTAAACACTTACAGTTCCTCACATTTTTCATAAGCTACAGAAAATTTTCAAATGCTTCTTCCCAACATATTCAAAAGCAGAATTGCCTTAAATGCAAAACACTGTCTGTACTGCCTGCCGGCTGCATTAGTAGGACACATCCCTTGATCTGCTCTTCTCTTCAGTCAGCCAGTGTGTGAATCCAGCAACTGGAGCAGTAAAGCCTTGGTTTGTGACTCTAATATCTAGAGAACTGCATCATGATCTACTGGCAATGATATCAGAACATATGAAATGAATAATTAATTACTCACCCTCCATAAATTATCCTATACCTGGTTTGCCTCGATGTCATTGCTGCATTTCTGCATTGTGCCATTGTCCTCTTAATCATGACATTTGAAACATAAGGATAGAAGGCAAGAATCCAACTTAATTCAAGGCAATGCATTTACAAGACACATCATAAAATCATGCCTACACCTTTCTTTATTCCATTTCTAAATAGATGTCACATCTACGGCTGACTTCATATGAAACAGGTCTGAGAGACCATATGCAAATACACATTTGAAATCACAGAGGTCATTCAGTCTTACTTTCCTTCTCCTAGCTGAGAACTAACAAAAAATGGTAATGAGTTTTTTAAAGCACAGAAAAGCAAGCACAAATCACAGATATGCACATGGCTGCTGAAATATAATTCTTGAGCTTCATCTTGAGACCTCTATCTTTATAAACAAGAATCGCCCTTCCTCAAAAAAGCTTCTTTTCCTAATATCAATTCCCACTGCAGAATCATATGTAAAATGGGAGCTCACCACTCAAAGGCATTCTCAGTTTCTGTGGAGATTAGAAAGAATTAAAATTAATTAAAAAGAATGCAAATCAACCCTCAGTCAGACATTCCTGCCCTCCTCGTTAGCAATATCTATTCCTATTGCCTCAGTTAGCAGAGCCAGTAAAGGGTTGTTACCTCTTTCTGTCCACAGACCTATGCAAAGAATTACAAAGAGGCCAGTAATTCCCTCAGCTAAATGATACCTTCTTAATGAGCCATGCTGCACCCACCCCACCTGTCCCTGCCTTAGTGCAACAACTGTTTCATTCCTTTAACCACCATGAATAGGGAAATGATAATTTTCATTCATGTCGGTTCTCTGAAAATAATCTAATAGCGCTTCTGGGAAAAATGAGAACAGAAACACAACTGTATCCACTGGATTGATTTCAGAGGAGATGTTTTCCTTGTGGTGGCAAATAATTTAAGCAAAATGCACAAAGAGGCACACATTTGAGAAATGGGAACAGATCTGTTAGGCAAAACAACAGCTTCATAAAAAAAAAAAAATAAAAGGTGTTTCATTCAGAGTCTCTTTGCAAAGCTAACTAGTTTCCTGAGCAATATTGTATAATTTCTCAGACTGAATATGGGCCTGAGCTGTGGATTCAATCAGTTGGAGACCTCTGCATGTGGGCACGAGGGTGACAGGAAGCAGGCAGCTACATCTGCCCCTTCACCTCACATCCATCTTCAGTATAAATGATTTTACCCCATTCTTTTTGTGCAAGTCCTCCGATAAATTACTTTAACAAAATGCCAATGAAAGTATCAAGGAGTAACACTGTAAAAAACACATGGATCTAATTATGACCAGTGGCAAAATGAACGAGCAGTTCCAGGTCTAGGAAACTGTAAGGCAAAGGAAACGTCCTTGATATGTGATGAAGGAAAGGCAGGCTCATAGGATCTCTAGACTTTGCCTAACAGTTAAGCAAAGATCTCTTATCTTTATGGCACAGAAAGAGAACAAAATACAAACAGGATTTTATTCTGAGACGTAAAACTATCACTATATTGACATAGAATGATACTTCCTGGAAATATACAAAAAGAGACGGAAAGGAAAGTTACCTCATGTAGTAGTTTAAACAAGGGATTTCTCAAACACTTGAGAAAATTCAACAGCCAAACATAAGTATTTTAAGCTTTATTTTAAGAATATCATTTTCTACCTTAAACAGAATGAATCTTCTGTCATCTGCTGCTCAATATCTTATTCATACATAGAAATATTTTAACATCTGTGCGCTATGCCAATAGCCAAACCCAACAGTAAATCACCTATAGTCCCCAATCACATAGAAACACAGACAAATGCAAGCTACCACTTACGCAGCTCATCCTGCAGATCTTCTGCTGCGCTTTGCTTATCTTGAAAAGGATTAAACTGCTTCGTTCTGCTAAAGTAAAGCTCCCTCACGTTAGCCCCACGGCTGTGAAAAAATTAATTACACTTAACATTTAGCATCTGATCAACAGACTGAGCTTCTGGTCAGGCTCCAGAGATACCTCCCATCTCTGGAAGGGACAACTCTAACAGGTACTTTAACTAGGACTCCTTCGTTAGAGGAATAAGACAAAATTGTGTTAGTTAGTACGTTCCACACTCATTTTTGCTTTAGAAAATCCTTCCTGATGCAATTTTCCTTCACGCTGAGGGAAGGAGTGCACTATTATAAATATGTAGGTGGTAAACGAACAATGTAGAGCTGGTTGCCTAGAGCGGGTTAGAAAAGCTGTCTGCTTTCAGTGTGTTCTGCTGGGTTATCAGTGTCTCCTTAAGTGTCAGCGGCTGTGCGTGGGATATGTTCCACAGCTTTATAGGAAAACATTTATTTTTTAAAAGCTGGAAATCGTGACCTCCTGTTGCTGGTCCTGCTTTTCCTTCTTCCTTTTCCAGCCTTTTATCATCTAGTTCTCTCCCTCAGTGCTAGCTAAATCATTATGGGATAATAAAATCCATGAAAATCTCACTAGAGAAATTTTGTTGTGTAATACAGACATTGGTTTAATAACAACATTTATTTCCAGAAATAAATTGTACTATTATGGAGATCTATGAGTAGACAAGTAAAACATAATGTTTTGATATACTTCTTAATTCACATTAGCTGCCAAACCTCTGAAAGGACGGTAAGTTGCATTCAAGTAAGGCGAAGCACCTGTTAAACAGCTGAAATGAATGTAACAGAGGTGTCTTCATGCATTGTGGAGTAAGCTTAGAGTCTTAGCATTTCAGTAGAATACTTATCTCAGTCCAAAAAGCCCTGAAAATGCATTTTTTAGAAACGTTTCTCAGAAGGAGGCATATTCTAGCTATAGGGGCTGCAGCAGAGCCCTCCTGATGGTCTACCAAGCCTTCCAGTCCTGTGATGGGTCTCAGCTCTACATCAGAGCAGCATCCTGCCCGTGCTGTTCCCCCACTGGCCCCGATGTCAGTAGAAAAACACCGCAGGTTGGTTGGACTTCTGTTTGCAAGGTGGGTGATGCAGGTTAAAATCCAGTTTACCAGGATCCCACAGAAACCTTCGTGTAAAAGAAGAGCATCGTTGCTCCTCTCTCTCTTGTGTCTGGGGCTGAAGTGCTCTGAGCACACCTGCTAGAGAAACCCTTACAGTTGAGACAGCCTGAGGAAGGCCTAGTTAACAGCTTCTGGTAGAGCTTAGGGACTTTACCGTAGGGTCTGTAGATCTTTTGGAAAAGGAAAGACCTTGTTCAGGAAGTCTCCCTTCTTTCACAGCACTTACTGGAAATCCTCTGCATCACTGATCCCCCCTGTAACGGGCGAAGCAACGCTGGGAACGCAGTGCTGAAAAAGCCCAGAGGCACGGTACAAGAAACTCAGGGAGCAGAAGCAGCTAATAACAACGCTGGCTGGTGTAAGCAGCCACTTAAAACTGACGTCAGTCACAGTAGGTCATTTAGCAAATGTCAAAATGTGATCCTACCTCTGAAAGCTTTTAAAATTATTTTCCAAGACTAACCACTTGATAAAATCAACATATTCACTAGCTATTTTGAAATTCTTAATTGCATTCCTTAGTAAAAAAATAAAATAAAAGATTCGGTGAAGAAGTCCAACCAGGATTAATGGTATACTGCTGACTGTGTTAAGGCCAGGCCCCATAGCCTCCTTGCATACCTTATTCAAGTTTCTCTGCATTAGCACAGAGGTCAAGCGAAACGCTTTCCTTTTTTGACTGCTCAGTCCTTAGCCATTTAGTCTTTTGCAATCCTCTGCAGTAAGCAAAAGATAACCTCATAAACACTGTAAAACCAACAAACTAAATTGTACCACAAAGTCCACCGTAA